TTCCTGTTTTATTTTGATAGTCCTTGTCCTGCGTGCAGTGTGTCTAATCTTGCTTCCTCTTGCCTCCTTAGGTCTGATTTGTCCCAGCTGTGCTCCCACCTGTTCCCCATCCTCTCATTGTCCTGCTTGTGTATTTAAGCCATGTGTTTTTCCCTGTCTGTTCTTGCGTTGTCCTCTTACTATGCTGTGGTTTTCCCATCTGTGCTCCTAGTCAATTCCTAGCTCGCAGTTCCTGGTTTATAGTGTTTTAGTTTGGGTTTTGTCTTTCTAGTTTAGTTTTGTATTTGACATGAAGTTAATCCAGCAATAAAGCTGGCGTTTTGAGTTTATTCCTTCGTCTTGAGTCCTGCATATGGGTCCTCATCCTGCCTGCCACACAGCAAATCCATGACAAATATGAGCCACTATGTCCATCTTTTTATGACCACAGTGTAAGCATCTTCTGATTGATGCTTCCAACCATCTTCTTACACACCCTGCAACAGTAAAGTGGCTGGTCAGTGTATTTATTGTTGAGTTTTGTTGATCTGATTTGTCACAGATTCATCAGTGAACTGTAAAATTTAACCTAATAAAGATGTCAATGTGTAAAACTGGTGGAGCAAAAAACAGATGAGGGAAAACTCAGGTTTTTTTTTTTAATGGATTTTGAGAGGCTTGCGTGCACCGCTGCCAAATAATAGCATGCAAACTGAGTTTCTGTGGACCAGTTACAATGCAAAAAATATTGAAACAGCCTTGTCTTCACCCTTTGCCCTATGTGCAATAAAAATGACTATTCACATAACATTTTTTTTAAATAAAAGAGTGGCTTTGAGGCTTTTGTGAGATTAGTTTGGGTATGGTGAAACAGACATGCAGTAGAAGAAATGTGCGTGGAGTCCTAATGTTTGTTTGCGCCTGTCTTTTAATGTGACCATGCGGTCAGCCTTGTGCCATGTTAAAAGAGACATAGTGACTTGGGAGTACTCTAAGTAACAGCAGCGGTCTGTAAAAGATGAAAAACTGGTGGTGGAGGCAGTTGGTACAAGAGTGAAAGCAGTCAAATTATGGCATTTGGTGGAGAGAAGTCTGGTGTTTGCTAGCAAATTGGCAACACTGCCTTGCAAGACTGAGCTGACATGCTAAAACCTTTACTGCACTGTCACAGGGTAAGAAATGGAAGACATTTTAATTAAAATGAAAGAGACACATGCACTGCTCATTACCAAACAACAACAACAACAGGAAAAATGTAGCAAAAAAAGTATGTTAGACAACAAAACTTGAATCACATGAGAAACATTTGTCAGTCTAAACCACAGGCAAAAAAAAGACAGATACACTGCTTTTACAACAACTCTGTGAATCAGAAAAACAGTATTGAATTGGCATGAGACAATTTGTACAAGAAGAACAGCGATGCTGCTCAGCTCATGCAGAAACAGCTTTAGCATTAGCATTTGTGTATGTCATGGCTGTAAGTTTCTAGAAACCTTCAGTAACAATGGGTCTTGTTATGTTGTGTAGGCATGAGAGTAAACTCAACTCCTGAAGGCCAGTTGCTGGAAGCAATGTTCGGCATTGTTGCTTTTAATTAAAAAATTCCAGCACTAAAGTTCTCTCCATAAACTGGGTTCCCTTCAGTTTCTTTGTACTAATAGAGCTTTGTTACTTTTAATTTGTAAACTGGAGTTCTTAACATTTTCAAATCAAAGCAGAGTAAAGCACAGTTACGGTAGTTTGTCAAGATCACTGGGAATTTTATGACAAGCTGTAGTCACTATTCTTTAGGAGTCTAAAGAACTGAATCTTTTTTAATTGCAATAAGGCTGATAATTGTTGTAAAAGGCAAATTACTTGCCCTTTCTAGTCTTTTTTTAATTTCTCACAGCATTGCTTTTTGATAAACCAGCCACTTCCATTCATTTCCTTATTGTCCTATAGGATGTTGTGGTACCATTTGTACAAAGCTATCCACAGTCAAAAGTTGACATGCAGATCTAAAGGTGAGAGTGCATGTGTGCGCGTGTGCCTGTGTGTACATGAGAATGAGGGGTAATTGAGGTGCTTTATCCCTGAGTTTTTACAAGGGGACTAATGGTGCATGTGGTTGCTGTGGAAACCTTTGTTTGAGTATAACAGCACAAGGACTTCCATTCCTCCACACAGTATGCATATATGCATCACCCGTGTGTACACACACACACACACACACACACACACACACACACACACACACACACACACACACACACAAACATTGCACCCTCCCTCTCTGTCATATGAGAGCATACTTTTTGCATCAGTGATTTAAAAAGAGGCAGCAGATACATAATAAGAGTCCTTGGATGCTACAGCAAGCAGCTAGCTTTTTAATCCGTTTTCTGCCTGTGAGGCTTGAATATCTACCAACACATAGAAGTGTCAGGGTTTTTGAATTTGGCCAGATCTCAGAATTGATGCTAAACAAGTGCAAGAAAAAGGCTTCAGTTCATCAAAACACACACAGTGATGTACACAATGTAACTCGCACACACTCACACATCTTCCCAGGTGACCTGTATTCATGCTGTGAGCGTGTTGGTAAATTGTTAATATTGCAAGGTGCATTGCAGCTTATACATTTGAATGGATCTTAAATTACATTTTAAATTTAGATGAGCTGTTTCAGTTAACTGACAAATGTGTTGTCCTGCTCGCCGAGGGAGGGCTCAGGGCATCTAGTTCCTGCAGAGGCAGTTCAGGAAGGAACAAGCAGCCAATCAAAATGCACTTCACTTCATTTTTGTGCGCTGCTCTCATGCTTGGTTTTGATAATCACACACCCTTTTCAGAGCGCTGAGAGGTGTATCATGCCTGTATGTGTGTTATACATTTTTTTTTATCCATAGCCTCTGCGAAAAATAATTAACTGTCTTTCAATCAAGCATATCCATTAAAGAAGATAATCATTCTAGCAGAAATGTAATCAGACTGAATGTTTGATGATGCTTCTGCAATTTCTTATGTAAACTTCAGCATTTACAGAACCCTCTTCTCACACAAAATACCTATTGGTTATTGTCAATAGTGTACTGTACCAACTCGGCTCTCCCACTGACTATGTATAAATATCCATAATCTATGCAAATAATGACAAGCAGATACATGCTGCATGAAAGTATGAGCCTGTAAATGTTTGCACCCACTAGTCAACACACGAAATCCAGCCACGGAGGGGGCCACAAGCCAGTGCCAGTGGGGAGGGCTGCATCGAGAAGGCCGGAAACAAGATTTCCAGACTGGATTGGTCAGAACCCAGGTTGACGACAACTGCCTCGAGCGCTGTTGGCCTAGAAGGTGTCAGTGGAAACTGTGCCACTGTTTGCCCAAAACAAAGAAAAAATAGAGGGTGAAGGCATGTTACACGACAATGGGAGTGAAGGAAAGGCAGGAAGGTGAGAGAAGGTGCATTAAATGTAGGGACTATGGCTAGTAAAGAGAAGGAGCTGGCTGAGACAATGGAGAAGAGGAAGGTAAATACACAATAATGCCAAAAGTATTCACTCGCTTCAGTTCAATTCAGTTTTATTTATATCGCACCAAATCACAACAATTGCCTCAAGGCACTTTATATTGTAAGGTAAAGACCCTGCAATAATACAAAACAACCGTAGAGAAAACCCCAACAATCATATGACCCCCTATGAACAAGCACTTTGGTGACAGTGGGAAGGAAAAACTCACCTTTAAAAGGAAGAAACTTCAAGCAGAACCGGGCTCAGGGAGGGGTTGCCATCTGCCATGACCGGTTGGGGTGAGTGGATAAAGATAGGATAAAGACGATAGGATAAAGGAAGAGAGCCAGAGATTAATTATGATAATTAAATGCAGAGAGGTGTTTAACCCCCCCCCCCCCCAGCAGCCTAGATCTATTGCAACATAACTAATGGATGATTCGTGGCCACCAGATCAAAACCTAACTATAGAAAAGTAGAGACAATGTCTGTCTCCTGAATCCACATTGAAAGCTGGTGCCACAAAAGATGGGCCTGAAAGCTGAAAGCTCTGCCTCCCATTCTACTTTGAAATACTCTGGGAAGAAAAAGTTAGCCTGCAGTCTGAGCTTAAAAAATTTGTGATGATCTTTTAAAAATGAGAGCTGCTCCATCTAAAGTAGGATGGGTGCCGTCTCTTTTAACAAGACCAGGTTTTCCCCAGAGGGTTACCTAATTATCTGTAAAGCCCAGGTAATTGTTTGACACCACTCAGACAATTTAAGGAGACATGTGGCTAAACATGTCACGAGAGGACCAGAGAAAACTACAGAGTCTAATATTGGTTTGGCAAAGTTACACACTGAGCTTCATGGAATGGGTTCCATGGCCGAGCACCTGCATTCCAAGGACAATGCAAAGTGTCAGATGCAGTGGTATAAAGCACGCTACCACTGGACTCTAAAGCATTGGAGACATGTTCTCTGGAGGGACGAATCGCGCTTCTCCTTCTGGCAATCCCATGGACAATTCTGGGTTTGGCGGTTGCAAGGAGAAAGGTACATGTCAGACTCCATTGTTTCAGTTGTTAAGTTAGGTGGAGGTGGGATTACGGTCTGGGGCTGTTTTTCTGGAGTTGGGCTCTGCCCCTTAGGTCCACTGCAAGGAACTGTTCATGCTTCAGCACTACCAGACATTTTTAAATGTTATGCTCCCAGCTTTGTGGGAACAGTTTGGGGATGGCCCTTTCCTGTTCCAACATGACTGTACACCAGTGCACAAAGCAAGGTCCATAAAGACATGGATGAGCGAGTTTTGTGTTGAAAAACTTGACTGGCCTGCACAAAGTGCACTCAAAAAAATGAATGAGGTGGATTGTTCAGTGTATATTAATTATTTATTTTCATTTTACTTAAAATATATGTTTTTGTTAAGTTAACATATGTTTTTCTAATCAAGTCTACGTAATTGTGTCTATTATTCAACGTACATAATACTAATGTGTTACTTGATCGCATAACATTTAAGTCGATTAGGATCGATATACCTTGTATATCCACAAGGTGGCAGTAATGCAAAAACAGTTGTAATGAAACCGCGCAGAACAAGAAGGTTTCACGGCTTGTGCCTGCTCATGCGCAAGACTTCAAATTTAACTGAAAAAGGCTGTTTTGGCGCCAAGCTACTGTTTCTTTGAGAGGTAAGACCACTTTTTTTCTTTGACTATGTTGTGTAGTATCTATATGTCCAGCATGGTTATATTTTGCGTTTGTCTTACAAGACATGTTATATCGTTTGCGTGCGCTTGTTTTACATTAGTTTTACTGGGTCCTGGACATGCTTATTTTGTGGACTGTGTAAGAAACATTTTTATTGTTTTTTTGTTTTATTAAGGGATTAGCTACAGGGGTTCATGGGGTTATTCTTTCAAGGGGTTATTTTTCCATTTGCTTTCTTGGGATTCCTTTTCTGTAATCCGAGAGTCGGAAATATCGAATAGGATAGCAAGGATAGCATAAAGTGACATTTAAAATCCAAAAAGTCAAGGGCGAAAGCCACTGTGACACCATTGTTCTGCTCTATCAGTAATCTGTATTATGTAAAAATGGTCTGTAAATACAGCATGTTTCCTAGCGGAGTTATACATATCAATGTAGTTATAAATTACAGTTTGTGAAAGTACACACTTAATTTTTTTAATAAAATTATTCAAGACATATGAGTGGACAGACAATGGAGGTCGACAGACCTGGTGATAATTGCTTCTATAGAAAGTTAGCACATGGCAGTGTCAATCTCTTGCTTTTCTTCTGAGTAGTATTTTATTTAGTTGTAATTCAAACAATAATTTGCTTCTTGAAATTAAGTAATGAATTTCTTGTTTTACTTTATAAATCTCAGATCCTGCCTTTACCTGCTCCCTCCTATACTGATGTGGTGTATGTGGTATTGCTGAGCTTGTATGTGGTATGTGAACTGTTATACTTTTAAAAACAAAACTGTTTTATAAGTTAAGTTTTCTTTTGTGACCCATCCCATGCCCCTGTTATTTCTTCTCCACATCTGAACCATGGTAAAGGTTGCAGTTCAAGGGCCTGAGGCATGAAATTCTTTTCAGATCAGCTGTGATCAATATTTTTTGGAACTTGATAAATAACAATAAAAGCTGTAATGGCTCCATTAGCATTTTGTGTAAATGTTTGTGTTAAAATTATAGCTTTAATGAGGTCTTACTACATTAGTTTTAGTTTGTATATGTGTACATATAGTATGTATATTTACAGTACAGTATGTTGTGTTTGTTGACATATTTTCAGGTGGAAGCAGAATATGTGAGGATTACTACTGCTGCACATGTTCCAAGGCTTTTTACACAACTTGACCAATACACTGACCAGCTCATAAAAGTCTTCAAGAAAAAAGGAGGCGTTGCAGGGAAGAAAATTAGATAAACTTTGGCCCCAGCCACACAGGTGCGTTATTCTGTTGGTAGCAAAATATTATGGCTAATAAGATCATTTTCAAATTTAAACAGCTAGTGTATGGTAGCTGCACAGTGCACTTACATTTATATTAAGCAAGACAAAGTTTGGTACTCAAAACGTTGGAAAACTTAAATTACCTAAACATATGTAAAATCTGATCCCTCAATTTAGGTTAAACCAGAAGTGAATGTTTTTATGTTATGTTTTGAATGCAAAAAAGATGATGTATTAGTTTGTCTTTACCTCCATTATGGACATATATAATGTGGTGGAAACCCTGCCCAACAGGTTAACTATTCATGTCCATGTGATGATTAGTTGGTCTTGTGTACATGTCTATCTGTGCAGTGGATATGTCATTCATTTTGCGTATAATGTGAGTTTCTGTCATCCTAAAGTATATCTGTTTTCTCTTCCTGTATCTCTGCCACTCTCTACAGAAGGAAAGTATGAAAAGGGGAGGGAGTGTGTCCTCAGGGCACTACCTTTTTACCTGAATGAAGACCCAAGCATCCTCTTCAAAGAATAATTGGTTGGTAATTTTAGTTTAGTTTTTTATCTGTATTAAACCAAATTTTGAATAACTAATGTTGTTGCATGTTGTTGTTGGTTGTAATTTGCATGGAACCTGTTTAAATGTTTTGGGAAATCTTTTTGTATACCCAAACTATTTATATTTATCGTTGAATCTGTAGTCTGAAATAGTGGGCACTGGGGTGCATGTTCCTAATATTGTGTTTACGTCATTAAAGGGTAGCTTTGGCCCTTTTTCTTTCTTTTTTTAAAACTGGATGCCATTTTTCTTTGTTTTTGTGTCTAAGCTACAGCTGTTCAGAGGGAGCTGGAACAAATTACCCTTGCTATCTTTACCATCGAAAGAGCTGATGCCAGCACTCCTCCAGCCGATGTGGGTGTAACCATCTAGTGTGTCCTGCATGACCTGGAAGACCTGGCTCTGCATGTGCACTCTTAATGGGTGGGATATATGCACTGAATCTCAGTTAACCTCAAGACTGAAAGCTTTTCTTGAAGTACTTCAGAAGCTCTTCCTTCATCTGTATGTCAGCATACTCTTGACCAAGGTACAGTTGCTCAAGAATACACTGAATGAATAAGCAACCTTTAATTTGGATGATGAATGTTCTGTCAGATGGACAGAAGTTTTTCGGAGGCTGAATGGGAATAAAATGGTAATTTGTAAATGACAGATAACGGAAAATTACATTTAAGAGAAATTTAGAACATTTTTGAAAAGTTTGTAAACTACTACAATTTGAGAGATTTACTGTTGTGGGGGGCTAGTAAGAGACAATCAAAAAGTATTGAGATTTAAAGGATTTAATTGAGAGATGATACTGCACCAAGAAATGTTGAAGGGTGGTGTGTATATTAGCGTTCAAGGCATATTGTTATGAGTGGAAATATGTTCATATTCAGTTTGTGTTACATTGTGTGCATTGTAAAGGTAATTGCAATACATACTAAAATAAGGGTAAGTTAGGAGGTTGATCTGATATCCTCGTGTTGGTGTTGTTCCCAGATCATCATACTAAATGTTGTTCCAGGATCAACATTGCAAGTGACCAATCAGAATGTTGTGACGTCATACTTTTGCGACTTCGGGAAAAACCGGCGTAAAACAAAAAACTGTACTTAAGCTGCGTGAAACCGCCTCTGTCCGCCGATCAACTGACCCTAACCCTAACCGTAACCCTTTAATAAACAGTAAGCAGAATTGATATTGTCCTTGCAACATTGGAATTTCATAAATGCACGAATGGCTTGGCGCGCAAAAGAATAACGTCACAACAATGTGACAACATTTTCATGATGGTCTGGGAACAACACCAACACGAGGATATCAGATCATCCAAGTTGGGAATGCAGGATGAATGTATATTTTGTGGACTTTTAAAGACGAACAATTGTTTCCATGTTAAAATGTTTACATCTGAAGTTTTTTGCCCAAACACTAGTAAATAAATGTTGACAGTGGCAAGTGTTAAATGGTTACTGCTGTGCTGTTGCAAAAAAACTGAACGCTGACAAGCTGTTTTATTGTTAGACCATAATGTTGGCATGTTTTGTTAAAGTTTTATTTGGGATGGTGATGTAATTTTCTTTGATTGCTAATATCAGTGGACTATTTATTATTATTATTATTATTATTTTTTATTATTGTTGTTGTTGTGTTGTTGTTGTTTGTTACATAAATTTTTTTAAATTGTGGCTGTTGAGGTGGACACTTCACTTTGCATTGTTAAAGGAAAGCACTTCATTGGCATTGTGTTACTAGACTGACCCTAAGCAATCATTGCAAATAGCAACTTTGCTATCCATTTTAGACACTAAAAGAAAAAACACTCACAGACCTTACTAGCATCACATGTGCATAACTCAAGTGTCATCTTATCAATGTGTTATGTGAGCTTCAATGGGGGTTTTTTCTCTTCTATTTCTGGCAGATACAGACATTTAATTTAAAGTCGTGATGTTGCATCTGTCTACATACTGTTAATTACTAACCCTAATGAGCTGTTGTGTTTTATTTTGGACTGGGTTTACACAAATGCTCACTGAATGTGTTGGCAATAAAAGAAATTTTAAAAAATAAGTTGGATGTACTTAATTCATTTGTGTGGAACCTGTTGACAAAATAGATTTATGTAAAACTAATTAATAAAGCACAAGGTGGCTGAAAATATAATATTTGAATTAATCTAACTTAAATTTAACATTTTACTGCCACAAATAAGAAATGTGTTGAAGTAACTAATCTAAACTATCTAACCTGAAAATATATCATCTATGTTCATACAACATAACTTGATTTAGTTAGTCTTAAATATGTCTTGTTAATCTTAAGTAGTTTTTTTAAATTAGATGAACTAAAGATTTTTGCTTTAAACTAACATAATTCAATTTCGTGGAACCTGTTGACAAAATAATTTTAAAGTCAACGTTTCATTTTTTTGAGTGAATCACTCTCTTTGTATCCTTTTCTTCTTCAATTCTCCCTTGCCCTCTTATCTAATCTTACCTCCAAGTTGTTTTCTCTATGGGAAATTTTGTTATATATCCCACATATTATATATCTTTAGAGTATTTCGAAAGCCCCCTATGCTCACTTTTTCCTCTCTTCCTTCCAATGCTGCTGTTACTCATGATTGTATTTCTCATTTTCCCTGTATTCAATTGTAGAAATAATAACCAGACTTGACTTGCTTTTAGAACTGAAAAAGGCAGCAGCAATAAATAAATAAAAACGCTTTGAACCCCATGAGAGCAGTGTCTTTGTGTCTCCCTCACTCACTTATCATTCATTCCACGTCTTTCAGTGTTTTTGATCTGTGGGTAATTCCAAAATTAATGCTTGAGTGATTTTTTTTTTTATCATGACCTTCATGGATCTGGGTGGAAACCATCACACTTCCATTCCAGTGAGAGGCTTGATGACAGTGCCGATAGCCCCGTGCTCATGGCAGACAGCAAATCTCCTCAAATCCAGAGTCAGTTAAGGGTGATGTTTCGCTCAAAAGAGTCCAGAAACACAGCTAAAACTCTTAAAAACTTGACAGCAGAGAGACAAAGAAAATGAGAAAGATATTAGAAAGGGATTGACATGAGAGAAGATCTTCATGGACTAAAAATGCTCAACTCCTCTCTCCACAACAGGGCCCATCACTATCAAATACTAGAGTAAGTAAGCGGGAGATGACAGGAGCGTGACGAGGACAGAGGAACTATCGCTTGCTGCAATCACTGTCACAGTGAGAGTCAGGAATAAAGAATAAAAGTGTCAGAGCCCACTAGATGCAGGGTTAAAATTGCTGTCTTTAAACAGTCACAGAGTGTCAGAGTAGTATTTGTCTTCTAAAGGCCTTTTTTCACTTCTTTTCTAGCTTCTGCCTTTTACTTCACAGTCTCAAAGTTGTGGAAATAACCACAATAAATTATAGTGTTTTAGGAGTAATTAGTATTCTTTTACTTTATTCTTTTTATATAATAGATGCTTCTTTTAATACAGATTTATATTTTGGATATTATTTTTTTTAATGTACTAAATATATTCTGTTATTAAATTCTGTTGTCACATCAAATGATTCTAATAGGAAAGACGTGTGGTTGTCTCAGCATGTTTGTTTTGTGTTTATTATTATTTTCAGAAATAAATGAACAAAAAAGTGAAACTCTAGTAGCTGAATGTTTTGTCAGAAACTGTTAACACAATATAACTTGCATCCATGCATTTCTTTGCTTACTGCCTGTACACCATGGATCGATTGCCAGTCACTACCAATACAAGTTACACTTTCAAGGTACACACAGTGAGCCCACAGGTACAGAGATAACATACAAACTACAGAGAGGTCCAGGCATTTCTATAAACCATTCAGAACACAGTTTGTTTCCTTGGACTCTTTAGACAAAGAAATCTGCCCAATCCAGCATTAAAAAACAAGCAGGGCCCAACCAGACCAGCAGCTTGTCAAACTGGTGCATTGAATAAGCAAACTGTTAGACTTCATTTATCTTGTGTTAGTCTACACAGAACTTTATAGACTAATGTCTGTGGAGGTTCTCAGTCATCCAGGTCATTGTAGTCTAACGAGCTTGGAAAGAAAAGCGTCTGGACTTCTTTAAGTTGCTTAAAGACGTTTCGTGTCTCATCTAAGAAGCTTCTTCAGTTCTAAGGTCAAATGGTGAAGACTGCCAAATTTAAGCCCTGTGGGAGTGTCCCACAGAGGGACAATGTCAAGGTAGACTAATCTTCAAACTAATCTGTCTTCATGTCTAGAACTAGTGAGACTGGTCTATTACTCCAATCTCCAGTATAGCAACCAATTTGTTTTGAATCACTTTTTTGTCTTCAGGTAACCTGTAGGGCTGTGAATACACCGTCACACCTGGGAAGGTTTCAGTGTGGTGTCATAGAGGGTGGTATGGCCTGGCAGTG